ATCAGCCTGGAAATGTTCTGAATCCTAAAGTTATTTCAAATCCAGAAAACCATTTAAGTTTGTAGCCTTCCAAAATAAAAACATCTATTTTGTTCCTCTCTATTAACATCCAGGTAGTATCAGGCATTACCAAAAATATTTATAGCATGGCTGTAACTCTTGGTTTTACAGACACTTAATTCCTATTCACAAATGGACTTATTCAAATATCTTTTTTGCAGTCAAGAATGAAGCAGGTTTGTCCACTGTAATACAAAAAAGTCAATAAAATCTCTATATATAGGCCTATGCCCCAATCCTATAAATCCTAAATATGATCATTCTCTTGATGATTTTGGAGGCACTTGGGTCTAATGTAATGGTTCTTTTGGGCTTCAGATTGCTGCTCCTGCTTTACTAATTTGATTACTTACAGATAGTACAACATTTTCCGATATGGCCAATTTTTCATCACCATCATTACAATCATTTCTCCCCAATGTTACATTTAGCTAGTGCTATTACATTATAGGAAGACACAGAAATGGTCTATACTTTATTTATCTAAATGTTAAACACTAGATTTTAGATCTGCTTTTTCTCTGTGACAATGAGTAGCAACAATATTTAACAAATAACCGTTCTCCAATATTTTTTTATGATCAGCTAAATAAATCACAATCAGGTATAAAGATTTTTTTTAAAAAAAAGAAGTAAAAAAAAATCAGGATAAGAATCAACACCAATATTTTGAAGTAGCCAAAGCAACAGTCAAATTGTACTAACCCCTGGAAAATGCAAAACGAATACAATTAAATGTTATCTTAATTACAAATATTGTTGTATTCTAACATTAATATTCCTTGCTGCAGAACAAAATGGGATCAGAGCACCAGTTAGCAAATATGCAAAGGATTATTTATCCAAAGTAGCACACAGTAATTGTACAGTTATTTTTCCTTCAGTTTCAGTTCAGTTCATTGGCTTCATAGGAATGAATATATTACAGAATCAGCAAAATCTATTTAAGTATTATGATACTATAATTGCTGTCAATATACTTTCAAGATAATCCCATGTGTTTACTTAAGAATAAGTCCCACAATTCAGCAATTTTGGGATCATAGACTATCATTATTGTGAATTTTGATGCATCTTAATATATACCGTGTTTTCCCGAAAATACGACCTAGTCATAAAATAAGACCTAGCTTATTTGGGGGGTGTGTGTTTCAGGCTAATATAAGCCCTATCCCAAAAAGTAAGCCCTACTTACCCCACCCACTCTGTCCCACCGTAGGATTTTTGGTAGGCTGGATTGCGTGCCTCTCCCCCCTAACCTGCTGCTGGTGCTACCACTGCGAGTTCAATTTTGTGGCTCGGCTAAATTGTTCAGCTGTGGCAGGCTGCAGTTCCCATCAACTTCAGAAAACCTTAGCCCAGGCTTCTCGCAGCTGAAGCAATCCGACTCACCCAGGGTCAGGTTGGCCATCGCAGGAGGTGTGGCCTGTCCCCGTCCTCCAGCTCCGCCGCACATGCGGGACGAGCCTCTCGCAATGGCCAACCTGACCCTGGGTGAGCCGGATTGTTTACAGGGAGAGGCTGCACATTGCAGGAGGACTGCAAAGGGCATACCCAGATCCCTGCAGTTCCTGGAGGCTCCGAGTGCTACTTTTCACACTGCTCGGTTTCCCACCCCACCCCTGCCAGGCTGATCTGGTGGGTGGGATAGCCTTCTGTCTTCCCCGCCGCTGCACTGGCAGCTGATGCTGCCCTCCTGAGAAATGGCACGGTGATTGGACAGCAGCCATACCGCAAATGGGAATAGACCCCCCCAAAGTGCCACCAAAAACAGTGGCGCGAAAAGGGCATGCACGGATCCCTACAGCTCCTGGAGGCTCCGAGTGCATCCCTGGGGCGCCTGTGCTGGGCAGCAGCGGGAAGGGTGCCGAGGTGGCAGGTGGAGCGCTGGAAGCTTGGGGAGGGAGGGTGGTGAAGCAACAGGACGGTGAGAGCGTGGTGGCGGACCAGGTACGGTACCAGGGTGGGTGGCGTGTGTGCCCTTCCTGTGCCAGGCCAGTCCCTGCAGCCCCAGGGTGGCCATGCTGGATAGTGGCGGGAAGGGTGCTGAGGTGGCAGGTGGAGCGCCGAAGGCTCGGGGAGAGAGGGTGGTAAAGCAGGCGGGTGTCCTGCCGTCAGCACCCATGTCTTTCCTTACCTGACTCCCAGCCCCATGCCGTTTCTCCTTCATGATCCGCCGCCACCGCGTGCAGGGAAACAAAGTAAGTTTAGTAAGTTTGTGTGTGTGGGTGGGGAAAACAGGTCAATCAATTCTAACTTCACGCAATTTTTTTTTGCAAGAAGTTGGAATTGATTAACCTTTCCCCTCCCCCCACAAATGCTCTCACCGCCATGTTGCTTCTCTACCCCCTACACAAGCCCTGCCCCACCCTCGCATGCTCGTGGCCTACCGGTACCAGTAAAAAGTAAGCCCTCCCCGAAAGTAAATCCTAGTGCTTACTTCAGAGCCCAAAAGAAAGTAAGACCAGGTCTTACTTTCGGGGAAACACAGTAGAGTCCAAGAATGTTTTTTGCATCCATTTCAGCTGCCAGTCCACTTTAATATTTTCCAATTCCTTTAGAATGATTTAAGACATTCACCGCCAGGAACAATTATCTTAGGATTTAACTTGAATGCATTCAAATTTGTGAACTGTTTACTCTTCAAGGTTCCCATAACCAAAATATTTAACTGTTTGAATAAAGACCATTGTTTGAATGACCCCAGTGGAGTTCCTAAGATCCAAATATAGAAGAATGATTTGATGTTACAGAACCAATTATCTAGAGATCTAAGTATTTCCGGTGAACAATATCTAGTATGTCTATGGAGATTCTCATTCATCCAGGTCATGGTTGTCCCAAATTATGGACTGGATGATTGAGAATCTCCATCGGCATTTAGCCATGCACTTTGGTACAATTTCTTGTTATGTTTTTAATCATAGTAATCACAGGATAGTATTAGTATAGTATAGTATTTGTGGGGAGAATCTAATATGCAATCTATTGCATGGAGAATGTTTAGGTAAAATAATTAAAACTACAATATCTGGACTGTAGTAGCAAAAAGATACAGCAATAACTCACTCCTTGCTCATTTAAAACAGATTAATCTCTAAAGACAGCCATGTTTGAAAACTAAACTTTATTCTGTGGCGGTCAGGCAGAAAACATAACTAATGTAGATGCATGCTTTTAAAAATGAATTTTTCATGACCAGCCTCAGGAAAATTACTGGAATGAAAAACAGTCACTTCAACATGTATGTTCCTCTCTTTGCTCTGAGAGGTCAAAGTGATGAATCTTCCGTCATTTTAACAACACTGCAACTCTATGAAAATGGCTGGCTTGGGTAAAAGTGATTGGCCCAAAGTTGCCCAGTAAACTTTAAAACTGAATGAGGGCTTCCTTGCTCCTAGTCCAGCCTTTAACCAATACACTACACTAGAAGTACAATATGCTATTAATATGCATTCATATCTCAAGTCAAGCAATTATTACAGAGAGCTGTCAGGAATTTAAACAATGAATCTGATGGAACTTGACAGTAAGTAAATCAATATATAATACCTATATATGCTAACATTCATTTTCTTTAATGACTTCATTGTGTTTAGCCTCTAATCTTTGTACACTTGTGCAATTTACAAACTTCCAGCTTATGTAAACATTTTGGTATTTCCAGCTTACAGTGAAAGATGCAAACTCCTGTGCAAACAGAACAAAGTACAAAATATATGAAGAACGTAATAAAAACATGTCTTCAAATGCAAAAAATGTTATCAAATGCCTATAAGGTACTGTGCTCCAGGAATACCTTTTGCTGACTAATTGCTTACCTAGAATTTATATTGGATATTTAAAGCTCAAAAACTTTTAAAATTCCATTGCATTGCATTCTATTGTTGTATTTTTCATACTTTTCTTCCCTTTAATTCTTAAAAATGGGGATCTTCCCATGTGTGCTATAAAACGTGCCCTTAAAAGATATTTCCTGACTTACAACTATTTGTTTAGTAAGTATTCAGAGTTACAACGACACTGAAAAAATTGACTTACAACCTGTTTTTACACTTATGACCCCTTTTAGCATCCCCATGCTCAAAATTTGGGCACTTGGCAACTGGCATGTGATCACCATTTGTAATCTTCCCAGCTGGCTTCCGACAAACAAAGTCAATGGGGAAACCAGATTCATTTAAGAATCACATGATTCACTTAACTGCAGTGATTCATTTAACAACTGTGGCAAAAAGAAAGTTGTAAAATGGGCACAATTCACTTAACAACTGTCTTGCTTAGCCGTGGAAACTTTGGGCTCAATTTTGGTCATAAGTCGATGACTATCTGTACTAAATTCCAGGTCAGCTGGAAAACAGCATCCATTTGTGAAAAAAATGAGTACAATCTAAAATAACCTTAACGCGAATTCTAGTGCTAGAGGGATATGCAAATTGTTCTATGCATGGAAGAACTAGTTTCAGGTAGTCTGCCTCAGGATCAAAACTAGCATCTTTACGAGACAAATGCTCTGGGGAGAGACAGAGGGAGGGCAGGAGAAGGCCAAAGAGGTGGCAGGGAAAGAAGGCAGGGAAAGGGAGAGTTAGGAGGGTGGATGGATCAATTGCATAAGCTGCATTTGAAGCCAGGCATGATGGAAATGGTGGTGGCAAAGGCGAAGTAAGGAAAGGAAGGTAGTTTTGGTAGTGGTTTGCACTGGTGGCTATGTCGTTACTGAAGTCAAGGACATCAGCAGTTAAGGGCAGGGAATAGGAAGTGTTGGGAAGAGCAACAGGTGGGCCATGTGGCAGAAGAGGGAAAGAGGGGCAAGCTCAGAAGGCTCCTCCCAATTTTGTTTCAGTTAAAATGCAGAACAACCAAAAGTGCTTTGGGGGTTTTAGTTCTACCAAACTGTAGCACCCCTGAATGATTCCAAAATACAAAATACATTTTCTTTTTCATGCCCAACCCTATCAAAGTCAAATAATAGAAGTGTCAGATATTTCATTGTATTAAATGATTGCACCCAGTATAGCCAATCTGTAAACAAATACATGACAAACAAAGCAAAATCAGAAAGCTGAGTCACAAATGATCTTACGAATACATTTAAAAAGGACTCTTCCCGGTTTGCTTCCAAACTTCTTTTGCTCCTTTAATGGTTTCTCGTTTCACACATTTCCAGTAACCTTGGACTCCTTGTTGCTGAGGCACCTGTTTAAATAAGTAGCAGTTACCAATCTATATATGTTATACTTTTTAAGGTTTGCTACATCCAGTAAAGTCAGCTAGTCAGATCCATCTGTCTACCCTGTTTTATCATAAAATGATTAAAGCGATCTGTCTACCATTCCTACTGGTCCAAACATATTTGCCTGATCGCAGGACACATTACTGTGTCCTGGTTAATCATCTATAAATGAACCTGTCACAATCACAAGTATTTTTTTCTCATTGGAAGCTGCTGAGCAGCAAATTCACCTTTGTTGGGCAAACTGGCACTATCTGTTACTTGGTTATTCCATTTAGCCATTTAATTATTTTGTAGTAAGAGCTAAAACTTGAATTTGTTTATTTTTGTCTTCCTTCCCCATCCCTTTATTTCTTTTTGTAGGGCATGTATTTGGCATAAGCCATCATTTAAAAATGCTTTGAGTACACAGTTATCTAGTTTCTTTTATTTTTATATTCATTATCACCACTAGAAGCTTTGGGATTAGTAGCATGAATGAAGTATCTTTTGACTTGGAGGTGGCTGCCAGTGATCCCAAGGAAATATTTACATATCTACATAATCTGGAGGCCTTCAAAAAGAAACTGGATAACCATTTGTCTGAAATGGTATAGGAACTCCTGTTTGAGCAGGAAGTTGGGCTAGAAAACCTCCAAGGTCTCTTCCAACTCTATTATTCTATGTTCTATATATATCTCTGTTTGTCTGTCTATCTATTCATCCGTCCGTCCACACACATAGCAGTAGCACAAGAGATTGTGGCAGAACCTCAACACAGCATATTGTATGGATGTCCAGACTAGGTTGTTCAAAGAGAGATGATAGATTCAGCTGCATTAAACAATTTGTATACCAGCTAACCCCTATTATAAACTGCTTGTTTTAATACGATAAATTTTTGTTTTATAAATGCATATTTATAAAGTTGATAAATTAAAAAATTCTATTAGATCATATAAGCTTTCTGTGTTGTTTCCTTACTTTATTAAAACAGTGAGACAATTAGACATTTCTACTGAACATTTGAGAGAACTATTACCCTTAATCCACGATGCATCCTGTTTTTGAGAACTCCAAGGAACTCTGCATGGCTGAGGCAATTATCTCCATCTAAATCAAAGATCTTGAAGATGGTGTCCAAAACATTATCTGAGAGCTCCTGTCCTGTAGCCACTTTCACAGCTCTCTTGAACTCCGCTAACACAAGCAAAGATATTTCATGTTTCTATTAAAAATAATAACTAGATTTATAAATCTAAAGAATAAAGGAAGCTGAGAACTTTACACTCACCTAAGTGATCAGAAAACCTGTGCCCATGGCCATGCTTAAACAGCTGTGTAGCACTGTATTTACTGAAGAAATATTATTTCTACTTTTACAGAAGTGGAACCAGCTAGTTTTTTATCTGAATCTGCTTTTCGAACACAGAAATTTGCCCATTAAAAAAATAAATAAATAAAAATAAATTATAACATTTTACTTGGAATATCGTAACTCCTTTTATATTTCTGAAGGAATAGTTTTTTTCTTGAGTATATGTACTCTAAAAGATTTATGAACTCAATCTATAATTAAAATTTTCTTGAGTTTGCTTTTCCTTGCCTTTGTCTTGTATGGCCCTACACTAACTGCAATAGAAAGTCACTCATTACAACCATGCTTTATGAAAATATATAGAAGTTGGGGGGGGAGATAACATTTAACCAAAATGCAATGTAATTTTAAAAAAATCAATCCATATCAAATGGGGGTTTTAAGCATTTTTAAAAGGATATAACAGTTCTGTACTAGCAACGGATCAACAACAGATGATGAGGGAAAAGAGAGCATTATAAAGCAAGCCAAAGATGTTGTTCATTTTTGGATTCTATTGTCTTATAATTTCTTATTTACATAAGTGGCAGCAGCAAATTGATCCCATGTTTACTTGTTAAAGGTTCAGCTTTGTAGTAAGGTTTATAAATGCTATTTCACATACTATACTTCATATATGCATTCCAGTTTGTCACTTCTTTTTTAAAGAGATTTTAAAAACAAAAGAAGAAATATACTTAGTTTTTGGTAGAGAAACCCCATATACAACTAGGCACACTGTGTAAATATTTGCTTTATACAGTAAAAAAGTGTGGATCTTTGTAAGGGCTCTTAAATGTTCTTTTTTAGTTCCTTTTTTAGGAGGGGTCAAAATGAAGATTCTAAATAGAGTTTTTGGAAAGCTTTGATTGCAAGTTTTGTTTTAAAGGTAATGTTATTTATTCTGTTTTCCAAATCGGATCAACAGCTTGGAAGAGCTTTGTTCATGCTCAAGAGCTATTTTTTCCCCAATTAATTGAGAAAACATCCATTGACTAAATTTTCTGAACCAACTCAAATTGCTCAACTGGACTGACTGTCTAAATTGAATGGATTATTTGGACTGAAACTGATCTTCATACCTCAGTTCTACTATTATTCTAGCATGGCAGCAAAGCACACGGTACTGTATTTGTTAAAGAAACTTTTTAATATATTTTACCACAGTTCATCTTAAAAAAATGAAAGGGGGCATCTTCCAATATTTTTTTAAAAACCCTCCAAGACTCTTGGTGACTTCATAGACACATCCATATATTTTTCTTGGCAGCCATGTAGAAAAGTCTTGGCATTGTTTTCTTCTTTCCAGGACCTCACCAGACCTGATGTTTTTAGCTTCTGACCCTAGACAAAGCCAAGGTGATGTTGCCACTACTGAGATTCCAGTTAAAAATCAGGTAGCATTTGTTTTTCCATTTAGAAACAATTTCCACAAATTCCTTTTCTGTGTGCTAAGATATGGTGATTTGTCATCTCGTAGCTGTCATAACACATAGTGAGGGACTAACATATAATGCATTAAGTTCAAAATAACTTTATAAAGCAAAATTGACATAATGGGGACATTTTCAGAATCCATGGACATTATCTTTTCATTTTGATTTCATGAAGAATGATGAAATGATGCACTTCTTACCCCGTTTAACAGGACGGCTGGCTACAGTAAACATTTTCAGGGCAATTGAAAAATCTTCTAAACGATTTGTAAATTGGCAGAAAGTCTTAAATTCATCCATACTGATACTCTGAAATACCAAAACGGGTGAGATGTTTAGTCAAGACAGCAAACTCCAAGGGTATTCATAAAGGATTTGTCAAATTACTATATAATTATGTATAAACAAACAAAATAACTTGATTATATTGTATTGCATTATATTGCTGTAGTTTAGAAAGCTCTTCAGTTATATTATAGATGGTTAATTCAAGATGAGGTGAGTTATACCAACCTCTCCTGCTTGGATTCTCGTTTTCACATTTTGCCAATAAATGTCATTATTTTCTTCGTCAGTGAAATACAGCAACCACTCTACAAAATCTTCCTTTCTCATGAAGGTTAGACCTTTGGAAAACTGATTGAATTCCATTTCTTGTACTTCTGCTTGTAAATCCAGCATAAATCTAAAATAAATAAACCAATAATAACACAGCTTAATTAAGTGCAGAAAAGGGTTTGAGAGCCTTCTCTATGAGAAAAAGCTAAAATGTCTGGAGTTCTTTACTATGGTAAAAGGTGACTGAAGCAGACATGACTAAAGTATTAAATATAAAATCATATAAACCAAGGAGAAAGGAGACTTTTTTTCACTCTCTCAAAACAGTATGATCTGGGATCATCCAATAAAGCTGAACAAAAAGAAATTAGGAACTGACAAAAAGTATTTTTCATAAAATAGAGTTGTAGAGTTAATTACCATAAGACATGGTGTTGATTACTTATGTGGATGGCTTTAAAGGAAAATTAGATAAATTCATGGAGGGCAGGTTGATCAAACGCTTGGGAATCAGTGTTACGTCTGGGATGGGAGCAATGTGTCAGTTCAGGAGAGAAACAATATGAGAAGGCAAAATCTGCACTTCCTGCTTGAAAGCACCCCAGAAGCGTTTGGCTCCCCAAAACTAAATGTCAGATTAAGATGGCCTTGGCCTGTTCCAGCAGACTTATCCTTTGGTCAAGATAATTATTTTCATACTTGCATTTTTAGCCAAATAGTACTTTACTCATATCAACTGATGGCACTGTGTACATTAGGAGTATCCTCTTGGAGTCATTGTTGCAGGAGAATATAACATACAGACTGTTAGCTTCCATCTCCTAACAGCAATAACTTTCATTAGTTCCATGTTGCAGAATAACAGAAATTATGCCAAAAGGGCAGAGTTCTATAAGCTGTTGACTAACACAAGTTGAGTGAAAGACATTATTAGCTTTTTAAAGATTGCAATCTTAAATCCACTTAGCTGGGAGAAATTAATAAATCCCATGAATAATAAAAACATTGTGAAATCTTGTGCTTGAGCAAGTCTACCACTAGAGTGCCCTCTAAATTCATCTATGTTCATGAGTAACTAGGCTGAAAAAATGTTGATATCTGCTATTTCTTTAAATTTGCCTGAATGAGAAAGCAGACTTAAACATGAAAGCAGATAATGTACACATATACTTTAATCAAAATCTATTTAAAAAGAGACTAATAAAACTTCTAAGAAATAAAAGTAATAGAAATGAGAAATTATCTGCTATAAAATACTCTTGTTCAAACAAGCTAATGTTACTTTTACACAAAATTTTGTTAACAAATGTATCATGAGCATCAATGACATATAAATCAAAACTTGGTTATAGAATGGCCATGACAGAAAAATCAAAATAGTTTCAATTGGGAAAAATGTGACAATCCTACACCAGGCCAAATCCAAAAATGCCAGGGAATTTCTAGAAGCCTGGCACTCTGATAAATCAGCCATCAATAGACACATAGACATTAATAACATCTATAGACTATGCAAAAGAGACAATCAACCAGCCCCAAAGAGAAAAAGACTCTAGCACAGGGGTTTTCAAACTTGGCCCTTTTATGACTTGTGGACTTCAACTCCCAGAATTCCTCAGCCAGCGAATTCTGGGAGTTGAAGTCTACAAGTCATAAAAGGGCCAAGTTTGAAGACCCCTGCTCTAGCACCCCTCCACCAGTAATCAGCACTCAGATCAGCATAGATTAACTCCAAGGTCAACTTCAGACTAACAATCAAATAAGCAATACCCTAATCAAGAACAGCTCAACCAAAGAATTGCTAAGACCACCCCCACCACCCAGACAGGCAAGACACCAGAATATGAACTGACAGCAAACAGCACTCCTTACTAGCACTGATGCTACCTAGTTAGGATAATGAAATGTCTGCAAGAAAACAAGCAAGCTCAGAGAGCACCAAGGACTCCTCAGAAAAATCGTATCTGTATTTATAAAGAGAGAGATGGGCATGAATATCAATTTTGATTTCTTCCAGTTTTTTATTTGTTAAGGCCTAAATCTGTTTTGTCCCATTTTTTTAATCAATTTATGAAGTACATAGAATACTTGCAGGGTGGGAATTTGTTTGTTTATTTATTCAATTTCTATAGCCACCATCTTAAACGAATGACTCAAATAAAAAAGAACAGGACAGGATGCAGAACGAAATTAAATATATATGGCAGCTAAGAGAAAATATCATAATAGATGTCAATATAGCCAGGAAATGGGGTCATTCACAAATTGGAATCATATAAATGTCTGTACAACTGTTTGATTGAAGATCTTTTGATAGAATTGTTCCCCCAGTAGACTGCATTTGCATGTTATGTTCACAAGTTACACATGAACTTGACCTTTTTAAAAATAATATTTACTTGGTTTACTTGCTTTAAATAATATTTACTTAATATTTGCTTGGTTTTTTTTTAATTAGATTGTCTTTATTTAGATATCTAGATATGCATGGAGAACATATCACAATTTAGCTCAAATTTATGCAGAAATATTGTAAATAAAAGAATCCACAAACTTTTAAACACTGTGTATGCAGCTCAGGATTCTCCTCTGGAGTTCTTGGTGTTCTCTTGCTGCTGTCATGATGTTGGGCAACATCTTCAAATGACTAAGCTCAAAAAGCACCAAGAACTCTACAATATTAAGCACTACTACTTAAGCTATAATCAGCTCTTCTTACATCTCAAATTATAGGCCTTTCCAAAATATTTTGTGCTGCCACCCAACCAATTTCTACTTGATATCTACCTTTTTCTTCATCTGTAACACTGTTCTTTGCACTTGTTTTTTTATAGAGCTCAGCCATCTCAGTTCCTTTTATTTTTCTCATGGCATTTTAGACACATACTACAGTTGCTAGTAGCCATTCTCTCCCCCCCCCTTTTTTTTTTTTAAAAAAACCACCAAATGAACATCTGACAAATTCCAGATGCTCCCTGGAGAGAACAAAACATTCCTGTTGCTTCTTGCAAGGTAAGCCAACTGTAGGAGCAGTTTGATTAGGTCGTTCTAGGTGGACAGTTTCTATATACCCTTGGCTGTCTTCAAATGGAGAATAAAATAAGACTGACTGCATCTTTTGCTTCCTTTATCCACTAGTCTCCTGAGAAAACCGATTTTCTAGATTCATTTCAATCAGGTTTCATTAGCAATTTGGGGACAGAAACTAACTTAGGCACCCTGTGGAGTTTTTGATTTGAAAGCAAAACAAAGACAAGAGGATAAAGGAGGGTGAACATTGCAGAGGCATGGGCATCTATTTTTAACCACAATGGTGCCAAAATGGTGAAATGTGCATCATATTTAAGGCTTCAGCTCAACCCTGGTAAGATTAAGTGATTGCAAGTTTTCTGACTTCAGTGACCTTCCATCTTTATCTCTAAATGGGGTAGCATGCCCCACGGTAGGTGCATAACGCGAGGATTCTTCTGGACACATTCAAAAAGCAGGAGACACCTATAATCAGGGTTTTGTACAGGTTCACCTTATGCACCAATTACACCTGAACCAGGGGACCCAACTTATGGTAATTCATGCTTTAGTTACTTACTGAGTGGATTATCATAACAAAGTCTACATAGGGCTATTCTTGAATAGCATTTGGAAGCTGCAGCTGGTTCAAAATGCAGCAGTGTGGACTGCATTGGGCATTTCATGAAACGGCCTTGTGACATCTCTGCTTCACAAGCTGTATTGACTAAGGGTACCATTCAAGTCACTGATTATTACTTATAAAACATTTATGGCATGGGGGTCATGATAGTGGGGAGCTATCTGCCTTGGTAATTTCTGGTTTTAAAGCAAGAACTGGGAGGTTTGGCATGCTGTAGATTCCTTAAATATCATCTATTGTGGTGCTTACTTATGGAACAGTGCCCCCTCTCCCCAATATGAGTCCTGATTCCCCTGGTCTTTTGTAAGGCATTAAAGACCAGGATGATCTGTATGGATTATTATATTGGTTTCTATGGATGCATTATAGTTTGTTGGTTTTAATCCTCTGTATGTTATCCAGTGTCCGTTTTATGAGATGTTTAAAGAAATAAAAGAGCAATGTCATGATGTAAGTTCCATCCTTTTGTATTTCCTGCATGACATCGCACACTAGATAAGAGCAGAGTTTGAATCACAAAGTATGTGTCATCACTTGCCTGGTCCAATGCAGATGGATAAGAGGACTCTTTAAGGATTCTCTTTGACATTATTTGCATGTGTATACATTTTGAATACTCAGAACTCCACTATGTTCAGGGAAGTGAAAAGGAGCATGACTGGGAAGGAACACAACTAACAGAATATATTCTGTCATGTCCTATCCCTGTATAAAGGGCAGTGGTGGGATTCATCCAGTTCGCACCACTTTGGCAGAACTGGTAGCTATTTTTTTGTTGCCCAGGCCCAGAATGAACTTCCAGAAGCGGCATCCTCACAGAGAACCGGTTGTTCACATATTTGAATCCCACCACTGATAAAGGGTGTATAAAAGCCATTGTTAAAACAATAGATTCTACAGAAATATGGACATTGCATCACAGCTCTGCAAGTCACAACAACAAAATATAATGTTAAAGCAAAAATGTAATATATAAAAAAGGAGAAAGCTAAATTTCCTACAATTTTGGTTTGAAAATTTCTTGGGGCAATGCATCAAGAAATAAACAGTAACTGTTCAGTCTCTTAAAGAACCAAAACTATTTATAGCATTGTTCTGCCAATTTCAACAAGCCCAACCAAGCCACATGCGCATCACAACCTGTGCATGAAGTATTTTTTTTATTATCCCTGGACTACACAAAATTCTGCCATTCCTTTTTTCTACTTATGAAGCTGGTTTTGGATCTGTATCCTGATTTACCATTTATTAATTACCATGCTGAATTTGAACCCACATGAAACTTTCCTGTTTCCTGTTTCCTAGCCTTCTCAATTTCCTTTCCAATTTTGCAATGCTTGAAAAAAAAACCAATGCTAGTTTAAAAGCTTTATTGCCAGCATGAAATACATAACATGCATACGAGGCAAATTGCCTTCTTAATGGTAGAGAATAAATAAAACTAATCAGGTACACCATGAAGTAGAAGTCACAAC